ATAGTTTACACGGCCGTGTAAATCCCTGCATTGCTAAAATCTTCAATTCTTCAATATCTTCATCCCCGGTGCTCCGCATGTAACATCCCAATTTTCAGGTCCAAAAATTTCTTTTTAATTAACCAACACATAAAAACATTCATAAGAAAATACTGCGAAAACACATCATCTCATAAAACAATGTATCATGTCTGAAAACCCAAGCCATAGAATAATAACATATCAGAGTACAATCCCAGAAAACTCCATGCGGAAACCATATGTGTGTGTGTGATGCGATGCTACGCCACCGACTCCTTCCCCTTAGACGAAGAGGTACCTGAAACCAAAACCGAAACCGTAAGCACAAAGCTTAGTGAGTTTCCCCATCATACCACATACCATACAATATCATCGGTATCTCTCAACTGGTAATCATCATCGGTATCTTTCAACCGGTGACCAACATCGGTATCTTTCAACCGGTAATCGTCATCGGTATCTTTCAACCGGTAACCATCATCGGTATCTTTCAACAGGTAACCATCATCGGTATCTTTCAACCGGTAACTGTCATCGGTATCTTTCAACCGGTAACTGTCATCGGTATCTTTCTACCGGTAACTGGGGACTATTCCACCCCCTACCACTAGCATACAACAACAAGGTACAATCATACAGTCAGGCATATCCGGGTACTGACCTACCCCACGGCCCTAAGGGCCGCTGTCAGGGATCCTAATCCCTACTATACACGTAACATATCATGCAGATAATACTCGTGACCAAAGCACATAACCAAACCAAGATAATTATCACAAAGACAATCATCTTACAAATACTCCTCTTTGGTGGGCCGGCATTGTGGCCTTAGACCCACCCTACTGGAAGGTAACTCACCTTGATGTCGTGCAGTGTTTGAATTATCCTCAACACACAAGTCGGTTCCCCTCGACTCCTCGATCCCTACACGACGACCTTCAAGTCAACACACAGCCAGTACAACCCTAAACAGGGTCAGTCCAAGTCTAGTCAAAGTCAACTTCAAGTTGACCCGACTCGCCGAGTTGGGCCGTCAACTCGCCGAGTCCCTCACCCTTTACTCGTCCTTATCCACGACCCGACTCGTCGAGTTGGGCCGTCAACTCGACGAGTTCCTCCCTCACATGAACATCGCATGAAACTCATCCGACTCGCCGAGTTGATGAACAACTCGTCGAGTTCACCTTCATCTGATGAACAAGTTCTGTCCTCGACTCGCCGAGTTGATGAACAACTCGTCGAGTTCATCTTCATCCTTAATAAGATTGCCTTGGACTCGCCGAGTCTGTTCTAGCACTCGTCGAGTCCCATGAACTCCAGGTCTAAAATCACGTCCAATACATTGGGTAACTCTTCCTGTCCGATTACAACCCTTCTAACACTCAACTGGGTTCCTTTGACTCTCAACAGATATGAGGCTCAAAGCCTCGGACTCGTCGAGTCCAAGAAACGGACTCGCCGAGTCAGTCATGTCCACACTCTAAATCCTTGAATTCTGATGTACAACCTTTGATCAAAAGATAGATCCAAGCTTCTATAATCGATCTAGCACGTAAAGTTACAAACTTTACGTGCTTGCATGGGACTTTGAGCTCAAAAAGACATAAAACAAGCTCTTAAGATGCATGGGGCCTTTCATGGGTGCAAAAGCAGTCCCCAACTGCCTTGTGACTCCTTTAATGACGTGATTCCGAAGCTCTAACCCCCAACCATATTTGCAATCATGGTGGGCCATCAAAAGTGGCTTATAAAAGCCCTAAATCTCCCCCAAAAGGGATCTAACAAATGAAAGAGCAAGGTTACAGCTTTTTACCTTCAATGAACTGTAGAAGGTGCACAAACTCGGGTTCCCTTGGTCTTTACTTGCTTCCTCAAGCCTTTCTCCTTCCTTCTTAAGACCACAAGCACCAAAATCCACCAACAAGGCTTAGATTGCTTCAATAACGGCTAGGGTTTCAATGAGAGGTGTTCTGGGAGCATAAGGGACGTTGTGGCCGACATAACATTGTTTAAATAGGGTGTAAACCCTCAGATTAGGGTTTTTGTCCAGTCAGAGTCTACTCGTCGAGTCCGGGACCCGACTCGACGAGTCCATCACTTAAATCCCGCGCCTCATCCCGCTTTTACTCGGCGAGTTGGTCCTTCAACTCGCCGAGTCCAAGGCCAAAAATGCAAAAATACTTAAATAAAAATACATACCAAGAACCAGGTGCTACACCGCAAGTCCTTAAATTTTGTCCACATCTCTTATTTACCTCCTCTAGCAAGATCCTACCTCCAAAAGTCCCTGAAATATTACAAAAGTGTGTGAATGAAATGGCCTCATGAAAAATCCCGAAAAACATGCAAAATGCATGAGTTTAAATCTATATGCAATGCACTTTTATGAAATAAAGCTATAAAATGAGTGCATGAAATGCACCTAATAGTTGCTTAACTTGACCATAGAAGAGTAACTAATATCATTCATAGTCCAATTGTGCTAGTATCAATTTAGTGTTTAACTTGAGCATGACCATTGCCTTGTCATCCATAAATCGATAGGCCTATATATTTGACCATAATAGCTAGACAATTGGTAATCAGTATAATCCATCCACCAAAAATCAACAATAGGAGAAAATGAAATCGGATCTCGACAGAAGCACTATTTTAATTATTAAAGTTGCTTTGTTGTCATTGCTTGCTTGTTTGCTAGTTGATATTAAGTTATTATGATCTTGAAAAATCAGTAAAAAAACCCCCAATCATAGTTTATTTTATAGTTTAATTAGAAGTAGTTAATTTATTAAATTGAATTTTGTTCCATGTGATCGACAATCCACTTACATGAGCTACACTATAATCTGACTAAGTACACTGCCTACAGGTGCATAGATAGTAAAAAGTTTGTTAGGTTATAAATCTAAAACTAAATAGGTACTTTGTGCAAGCATCAAGTTTTTGGCGCCGTTGCCGGGGAACGGCTTATTTGAATTATATTTTAATTGCTTTTAGTTGTTCGATCCTTTTTGTGGGGTAAAAACCTCAACAAGTTACTTTGGTTGCATTTGTTTTAGTTGTTTTTCTTTCTAAGACGCAACCACGTCATGGTTATCTTCACCACGTCGTGGTATCGCTTCAGTTAATTATTAGTTTAGTGGTTTTATTCCTTTTACGCGTTTTTGTTTTGTTTCAGTGATATATGACCCGATGATCTAAAACACCTATTGTTCCTCCATTACAAGATCCAGAATCCGCTTTCCACAAGAAAAAGGACAAGAAAGTCAACGAGTCAACATGCACTTTTCATTTGGATAAAGGATTTGAAAGCTTCAAAAGGACGTTGGATAAGAAAGGAATCGGATACGAACCATAATCATCTACCGAAGGAAGTTCAGACGATTTAAAGCTAAAAACCGAAGAAGAATAGATGATGGATATCGCAAGAATTACGATGGGAAACTATAAGAAACGAATCTGAGAGAATAATGGACCAGGCTTAGTTCCACCAGAGATACCACCTGAGAGAAGTTTTGAGATCAAAGGACACATTCTGTCCATGCTCAAGGGCATACCTTTTTCTGTGAAAGAGTATGAAGATGTTTTCAAGCACATTGATGAGGTCAAAGACATTGCCAGCTATTTTCATGTTCCTAATGTGCCAAGAGAATCAGTGCTACTAAGGATGCTTCTGGTTAGTTTTACCGGTTAAGCAAAAGTTTGGTTGAAATCTCTTGCACCCAGATCCATTACTACTTGGGACACCCTCCGTGAAACTTTTATTGAGTAATTTGGTCCACCTTCCAAGATCTCAAAGCTTAAAAAAAGATAGCTAATTTTCAACAAGAGGTTGGAGAGTCGCTATATGAAGCATGAGAGAGGTACAAAGGATCGCTTAGAAGTTTCCCTCAACATGATTTGAATGTCCAACAAGAAGTGTCTACTTTCTATGATGGGGTGAATGTTACAACTAGACAACTTCTTGACTCCCAAGGGCTAATGACAAATATGGAGCCAACTGCTATCAAAGAGTTAATTGAAGAGTTTGCAAAGCACTCATGAGAGTACCATAATCCAAGAGAGGATGTTACTAGAGGAAAGGGGGATGGAGAAAACGAGAACTTGGTTGCAATCATAGGTAAGCTAGATTTTATGGATAGGTGAATGACAATGTTAGATCAATCAATTAATGCCATAAGAGTTGGTTGTGATAATTGTAGTGGACTGCATTTGACAAAGGATTGTGACTTAGAGGAAAATGGGAATCGCAAGGCGCAAGTGTTTTACTCGAGCGGTGACAAGTATGATGAAGATTGGAGGAAGCCTAAGAAGGAATGATTGCCATATGAAGAGTACAAGAAACAGAAAGATGAGAAGTATAGACAAACCGGTCGGGGTTTCTACCAAAAAGAGCAACCACAACCCGAAAAGAAGATAAATTTCGAGTCGATACTTCAAAGATTTATGGAAGCATATGAAAAGAGACATGATACAACTGATGCTAATGTATGAAATCATCAAGCTTCCATAAAAAACATAGAGACTCAACTTGGGCAACTTACTACACTTTTCAATGAAAAATTACCACCTCGAAATCAAGACCCAAAAGCACAACCTCATGTAATGGCAACTTACCATACTTTTCAAATTTAATTATGGTAATATTTTTCATAATTAATACTTCTTATATGTTTAAGACACATATAAAAAAATCTCATATATAAATTGACATTATATTATTATTTAAAAGGTTTATTAATGTATTTATTAAAAAATATGATGACTAATTGTGATTGTGCCAAAATAATTTATCTTAAATAAATATTAGAAATTTTTATTGAGATATATATAAAAACATAGATATAGATAAATATATATAGAAAAAAGATATATTAAAAGAATAATGTATTTCATAAGATATATACAGATTTTGAAAAAATTGACTTATCTGTACAATATAACAAACCGTATCGAACTATTAAACCGTTCCACATCACATCACATCCACCCGTGTTCGCAGATGAGTTCAGAGTTCAGAAGTTGAGATTGCTTCCCTCTTTCTCTTTCTGCTGCTCTGAAAGAGTCGTCCGCCATTCGTGACGGCTCTCGGAGTTCGTGCAATCTGCGTCGTCCTCGGTGGCTGCTCTCTTATCCCTAATTTTGGAATTCGATTATAAAGATTCAAGATGCGTCGTACTCCAACAAAGAAAGGTCCGTCTAATTCAACGTCATCGTCAAATTCGTCAGCCATCGATCAATTCCGTTCCGGTATTCCTTCAATTCTCTATTTCTAGTTCAGTTTCACATTAATTTTTTGTGGTTTAGATCGATTCACCTGAGTTTCAAGCGCATGCTGCTGTTTTTTTAATGAAACATTATTTGTACGTTTCAAATATAATTATGCAATTACTATTCCTTTGAAGTGATATCGATTACAACTCAGCCAATCTTATTCAGTTCCTTGTCGTTCACAGCTGCAAACACGTTTTGAACTGATGAAGAAGTTTATATGATCATGGATCAATTTCTAGGCTAACAATTAATGTATTGCTATATAACTTATCACTGGGAAGACTTTGCTTTTTTCTAGTTCTTGTTCTTGTATAGTGCCTTTTGATCTTTATTATTATTATATAATAATTATTATTTATTTATTTTCAGGTGGTAGGACTGCTACAAAGGAGTTTGAATTCATAGATCAGCTGTATCATTCATATGCTAAAAACTCATCTGGTATTATTGAGTAAGTGCAATCCATTAGATTTTTTTACTTTAGTTTACAGTTTGGGTTTGCTTCATCTATAACACTTACATATATATGTTTCTGAACAGCCCTGAAGGAATTGAGCATCTATGTTCTGATCTTGAAATTGATCACACTGATGTCCGGATATTAATGCTGGCCTGGTAAATTCCATTTCTACCCTTTTTTTTTCACTTGAATTCATCACATTACACTGATTGATCTATTAAACCTTCAGGAAAATGCAATCTGAAAAGCAGGGGTATTTCACTCTGGTAAGAAAAAATTGCATCTTTAAGTTTCTTTCATAAAATAATGTAAATATCATTACTCAAAAATGGGTTGCTAATCTTTTATAATAGGAGGAATGGCGAAGAGGCTTCAAAGCATTGCGGGTTGATACTCTAAATAAATTGAAAAAGGCACTTCCTGATCTGGAGAAGGAGGTATACAATACAACACAACACAAAGAATACAAATATAAGTTTATGTTAAATGACTAAAATACCCTTTATTGTTATTATTTAAAGGTTCAAAGGCCATCAAATCATGTGAATTTCTATTCCTATGCGTTCCAATATTGCCTGACAGGTTCGAATAATTCCTCGCAGCTTTAAAATTGGTATTTTTGGGTTTTAGATTTTTCATCAGGAATTAGTTTTTAACTTTTTATTTATTTATATTATATGCAGAGGAGAAGCAGAAGACGATTGATATTGAGAGCATATGTCAGTTACTGGAGCTTGTTTTGGGATCAGTATTCCCACGACAGGTGGATTCATTTGTTCAATATCTAAGGGTCAGTTCAGTACTTTTTTCTTTTCTTCCTAGCAAAAGTAAAATCCCTTTATTCCTTAAATTAAATGATCCATTTCAAATATGCAGATACAGAGCGATTACAAGGTTATAAACATGGATCAGTGGATGGGTTTCTACAGATTTTGCAATGAGGTACTAAAATATTTGTTTTTCATTTTCTTATTCTAGAACATTGTAATTAATCTTGTAATTTCCTGGTTTACAGATAAGTTTCCCAGATTTTGGGAATTATGATGCGGAACTGGCTTGGCCACTCATTCTGGACAACTTTGTGGAGTGGATGAGATCGAAATAGTTCAGATTAATCACATATTTTGCTTCAACTTCATTTTTGTTTATTGTTGCTTCTGAACAATTTCTATTGGATGCTTTTCAATGGCTTGTATTTATTGTGAATGGATGAAGACATAATATAATAGTAGCTTATAGAGAGTGATTAAATTTTGTAATTATTTTCTGTTTTTCAGTTGCAAACAAATCATTGTTTTTGAGAATGCAAAATAAGTTACATGATTATTTTACAATATGTGTATGTTTGATTAATGGGGTTCATACTAGTAGATTGGCATATTGTCACACCCCAAAACCGGAACGGCGGAAACGTTCGGGGGTGGAGGACGTTATGTACAGTATCACAATAATGCAAAGTAGTAAACAAGTAACAACATCATCCATTGCATTAATAATATAATTTCATACAAGTGTGTTCTGTCAAGTTAAATAGACACCAAAAATATGTATCAAAATAAAAGATGAGTCTTGAACGAGCTCCATCTTCTCAAAACCTGGCACCGGTACCTGTCTACTGGTGACCTGAGAATACAAGTTATTTTGAAAGAGTTTATCAGCTTTAAAGCTGGTGAGATCATAAGTATATTAGTGTCTGTATTTGTATGAAAGCATTTGTAAGATGTTTGTAAGATGTTTGTAAGATGTTTGTATAAGTTTGTAAAAGTTTAAATTCTCCTAGAAAACCCTATGTTTCCTACTAAAAGTAGCCTTCTACCAAGGCATCTAGTGTATGTGTGTGTGTCTCTTGTAAGAGTATGTATTTTCCCAAATCTGACTATCATTAACCAAAAATATAGTTTTTACATTACTGTTCATTGTGTGGATGTTCACAAAGTGAATGTAATGGGAAAATGAAATAGTACTGTAGTGTTGTATTAAGTAACTACTGCTGTACTAACTACCTTAAACCAATTGTTATTTTAAAGTACCATGTGATCGGCCTGTACCCTGCTACCGACTCATAGAAAAACGACGATGTAAGACGTCGTAAGAAATGACGTTTGGCACCCGTAGACTTGCAAGTCCCACTGTAGCGAGCAACAAGGTGTAGGATAGTCAATCCAGTATAGATTTATACACAAACTCATACGCTCCCCAATTAAGGAGATTCTGGATACAAAACGGTCATGGCAGGTGGTGCCATGCCCCGTTACGTGGCTCACATAACTGTAATAATGTATATGTAATGTATGTGCTAGCTGTATTGTGTGTTCTTCCTCTGTCTAGCCTGTATGTATGTTCTCTCTGTATGGTATTGTTTGTTTCTCTTCACTATGTATTATGTTTGTTTCTCATCACTATAAGTTATGTTTGTTTCTCATCACTATAAGTTATAACACATGTATGAACTGACTCATTGTATGTTTCATTGGTCTAGTAATAGATTTGTAACTTCCTAAACTATACCTATTATAGTTTACTAGTAATGTTGTTTGTATGTATGAACATGTTTGTATACCCTTGCTACCCAAAGGTATTGAACTAGAAAGAAATAACCTTTTATATCTATATACATATACATAATATATAACTAGGATTCAAACGACCTTCGGACAAATAACCCTGATACCCTAAGTCCACAACCAAACAAGGAACAGGAAGTAAGGTGAGCTATCAGTCCTAAGTCCTTTCAATCCTACTTATATAACTATATCTATATAGATACACTTTTAACAGAATATAAGTTTAAAAGAGTTTAAGTAACAATATTTGACATGTAAAAGGGTTTGACAAAAGCATTTGGTATGAAAAAGAGTTTGTAAAACAGTTTGAAGTAAAACAGTTTGGTAACACAGTTTGAAAAGTAAGAAATCCACTTGTTTGGTAGTTATTAATCACATGTGATTGATATAATAACTATAATTGTTCAACTTGTATTCCCCCCCCCCCATAAAAGCATTTAAAACATTTAAAAGGTTAATTAAGGGGTATGAACTTACCTGTAGTGAGTGGTTTGGATGAACGGAATGTATAGGATGCTAAGTGTCAAGTGAAGACTTGAACACACACAAGGATCCTAGTTAACATATAATTACACATATATGTATCCAATTAGTCATTAAACAACTAATTAACCAAGTTAAGACATCCTAAGACATGTAAAACATTTAATTTAAGTGCTTATAAGTGCTAAGGATTGCATCTAAGGGTGGTAGGACCTTGTAATTGAGTTTAGGGTTCAAGGGTAAACTCCTTTGGAGTTTACGGTTTTGTGACCATCACCCCTTGAGTTTACGGTCGTAAACCCATGAGTTTACGGCCGTAAACTCATGGTACTTTGACCATTTTGTGTTTTGAAGTCTTAAAGGTCATAAGAAGCATTCCTACTTCATGTTTAAGCCTTAGGAAGTGATTAGGGCACCATTTCACTCCTTTATGGAGTTTACGGTCCTTGGACCACTTCTCTTTGGGTTTACGGCCGTAAACCCAAATGATTTATGGTCTTTTTGTTGTTTTGAGTTCCTAGCACATCAAGGAAGGGGTCTAGACTAGTTTCCAAGGCTTGGTAAGGGACTAGGGCCACTTTGGCCCCTTTGTTAGGGTTTACGGTCCAAGGTGTTCTTGGACCGTAAACACCTTTGATCCTTTGATTCTTGGGTGTTTTCTTGATGATTAGAAGTGTAACAAGTCTTATAATACACTAGGATAGAAGTACTTACTAGGTAGAAGCTTGAAAAGGTGCTAAAAGTCCAAGAACACTAGTGTGTGTTCTTGGTGTTCTTGGTGAAACTTGAAGATGTACACTTTTGGAATGATTTCACGGATGGAATCATGTAAGATCACTGATGCGACATCGACCCCCGGTGTCTCTTCTTGTCTTCTGCTGCGGCGGAGATCTGGACATCACAGTGCAAAGTCGTTAGAGCCGTCCCAGGGATTGTGCCCCGGGAGCGGACTCCGACGGTCAAGTTAGATCAGCTAGAAGATCTGAGATGGTCCTCCATAGCTGGAGAGAACCATCTTGGTGCTAGTGGTGGTGTCTGGTGGCTGACGGCGGCGGGTGGCGGCTGAGCCACCCGGCCGTAGTATAGGGCGGCGGCTGAGCCAAAGGGAAGATCTCTCTCCATGGAGGAGATACTATTCATTATATAGGGGGCAACTAGGTCAAGCCTTGGGCCAGCCCAATCCAGGCCCAGCTAGCAAGGAGCTGGGCGAGGCCGCCCGGAGGCGTCGGGCGAGGCTGGCGGGCGCGCATCAGGCAAGGCTGGCGGGCGCGCACCAGGAAAGGTTGGCAAGGGAGCGCCAAGCCAGGGAGCGACAGGCTAGGCCGGCAGGAGAGTCCCCAGCAGGGCTGGCAAGGGAGTCCCCAGCAAGGCTGGCAAGGGAGGTCCCAGCAAGGCTGGCAAGGGAGCGCCAGGCAGGGCTGGCAGGAGCGCGCCAGGCCAGGCTAGCGCGCTAGAGCAGTCTAGGCCATGCCAATGGACCATATATCATCAAGTCCCCCCAGTCTGGTGTTATTGGTACGCGGCCAATGACATCGGACTGGAACTAGTCATATAAACTGTGCGTCGTCAAGTCCCCCTAGTCTGATGTGATTGGGTTGCTGACAATCGGATCGGACTAGATAAAGCACCAAAGCATTTAAATAATACAGAGAATGACCGAACCTCGCCCACGAGAGCCGTGGGGTTGTGCGATGAGCCAAACGTTGCTTATGCAACTTGAGCTGACTCGATACTCCTTCATTGAGAGGAGTGCGAGCTGATCGGTGAGATGCAACGTAACTGTTGTTGCGATCATGCGGACCGAGGCCACTAAAGAGTGTTACACGACACTGATGTCGATGGAATGTCGGGCCGGGGTAACTAAGAACCATAACCTTGCTATACAGTCTCTAAGACCGTTATTCTTCGTGATTGTTGCGGTAGTCATGCGCAGATGGAATGTCACCGGTAACCATCTACATAGTCTGCATTAATAACCGTCTTGAGGGTATTTCTTGCTTGGGCTACACCTAGCTGGATTGCGGCGTACCAACCCTACCCCCCCCCTTTTCTTAGAGGAGGCGAGGAATAGATTCCGAGAGCTGGGCGACTAGGTTGCTAGCGAGGGTCACGTAGCGAGACTATTGTCGATAGCCAGACAACAGAATTGTTGAGGGATAGGCAGTGAGGCTATAGGTTGGGGTTGCATAGCAAGACATTTTCCGAGAGCCAGGAAACATAGGTGTTGTGGGGTACGCGGCGAGGCTATAGGTAGGGTTGCACAGCGAGACCATTTCCGAGAGCCAAGAAATAGAGATGATGTGGGGTACGCGGCGAGGCTACAGGTAGGGTTGCACAGCGAGACAATTTCCGAGAGCCAGGAAACAGAGATGTTGTGGGGTCAGCAGGGCCACTGTCGGGATGACCTTCTTGCTGGAGAGTATCCTCACTATAGCATGATGTAATGTAGATAACACTTCATCGATCGTCCGAGCACAAGAGAACCATGATGACTGTGAGAGAGGAAGCACCAAGATCATGGTGTGGAATAAGCTTGTGATGCGCGACTTATGGTGCGCGACGATGCGCGACTTAGGAGAGTAGCTCGGGCTTAGCAGCCAGCGAACATGGAGATGTCATGCGGGAAGGCCTCGCGTGTAACAGATCGGGTTTGGCTGCTAACGATCGTAGATAGATCACGCGAGAGAACATCGCGTGGAACGGATCGGGCTTGGCTGCCAGCGATCGCATATAAATCACGCGAGAGAGCATCGCGTGGAATGGTCGGAGCATGTTGCTATAATGGAGTCGGGCTGAGAAGCCAGGCGACTCGAGGCGAGGGCACTGAACCACGCATGCGGAGCTTGGCTCTATAATGGAGTCAGGCTGAGAAGCCAGGCGACTCGAGGCGAGGGCACTGAACCTCGCATGTGGAGCTTACCGCTATAATAGAGTCAGGCTGAGAAGCCAGGCGACTCGAGGCGAGGGTACTGAACCTCGCATGCGGAGCTTGCCGCTATAATGGAGTCAGGCTGAGAAGCCAGGCGACTCGAGGCGAGGGTACTGAACCTCGCATGCGGAGCTTGCCGCTATAATGGAGTCAGGTTGAGAAGCCAGGTGACTCGAGGCGAGGGTACTGAACCTCGCATGCGGAGCTTGCCGCTATAATGGAGTCGGGCTAAGAAGTCAGGCGACTCGAGGCGAGGGTACTGCACCTCGCATGCGGAGCTTGCCGCTATAATGGAGTCGGGCTGA